TCTATCTATCTATCTATCTATCTTTACACATACATACATACATACATACATACATACATACATACATACATACACCACGTAGCTCCAAAAGCAGGGTTGCTGTAAAGATGAAGGACATTTGAAAGGATAATTAATGAATTTTTTAAAAAAGCATCAAGGCCCATCTTCATATTATAGCTGCAATTAAAATTTGCTTAACCAACCAGAAACTGTTTTAATTTGGGGAGGGAGGGGGGGTGGGACAGCTTGACTATACATGTTTGATTAGAAGGTGCAGTTGACTTTTAACAGATATATAACTTTGGTGAACTATCCTTTGTAATTGGCTACCATGCAAGGATGGGCAATTACCCTCCTACTTCATATCATCAAATCATGAATTATTGATTTTATATATTTTAAAACTTGACAGGAGAAAAAGGTAATACATTTATGATATGATACCAGAGAAGCTACTTTAAATTCTGATAGAATGTCTTCCTCCAAAGCATTAAGCATACCATAAAACCACCTCCATCTATTAATTGTCATTTATATTCCTGGATGAAGAAGGAAAATTTTCCCCTATTATTATCAACTTCTAAATCACAGGAAGGAAAGAAAAAAAAAGAGACTTAACTGGAAGCATGCATACAAAATGAAAGAATGTTACATTCTGACTTGTTATAAATGTTCTTATATCAATTTTGTAGCAATGGCTGGAAATCCCTGTTACTGCCACAGTGGGCCCCAATTATGAAATTCAGAAATATGTATTTCCATTTTCTTTTTCTGGTCAAGTTTTTTATTTTATATTACATATACATATCACTGGGTATCATACATGTTAGTACAAGTAAACATAATATTATTACTCACAGCTATTACATTTCATTTTCATTGTTTCATACTGTTTAAACATACCTAATACTACTGCCATTCAATTTCTAATCTTCCATCTTATTATTTACATATATCTTGTTATGTTAAAATGTGAATACTGTTATTCCCCTCTTATTTCTATCTCTATGCTAACTTTTATTCATGTTTCCATTTTCTAAAGTGCTCCTTAAAATCAACTTCAGAGAAACCAACAATCTTTTCAGAACTCCAGAAAAGTTACTCTAATAACCATGTTGAATGTGAGGAATATTTTATGTGGATTATTCTATCCACATGAATTAGTTCAGGCGACTTATCTGAAAACAGTAACTTATTGCCATGGTGGTGCAGTGGTTAGAATGCAGTGCTGCAGGGCTAACTCACTGCTTACTCCAGGAGTTCAATTCTGAGCATCTCAAGGTTGACTCAGCCTTCCATCCTTCCAAGGTTGGTAAAATGAGGACCCAGATTGTTGGGGGCAATAGGCTGACTCCGTAGACCGCTTAAAGAGGGCTGTAAAACACTGTGAAGCAGTATATAAGTCTAAGTGCTATTGTTATTGCTCTACTGTACGTCCAGGCTATTGTTAGTAACATCCCCTGGGTAACATATGTTGGCTGCATCTGTTTTTGAGTTGAAAACTTCCATTTTCTCACCTCTCCAATTGATTCCTCTTGGTAATCATCAGCATTCACCCAGGGTTTTTAGTAAACCTATCTTCTCCACTACAAGACATCAGCATTGGTCATGTCCTTAACTCCAACGATTTCTTTCATTTAAACTTTTCTCATTTCGAGAATTACAGAGACAATTACAATGCCAAACAAAGCAACTAACTTCCAAGTTATGTCTGTGAAACAGTTTCTCATAATGTACAAAAAAGAAACAACGCACCAATTTATTTCATCTGTTCTCTTTACCTTGAGTCCTTTATGCTGGAGAGCGATGCATCCCGTAGTCAAACAATCTTCCAGTGGCACGCATCTCTTGGTGACTGATACACTCTTTCCATTGGCTTCCAGGGTATGTTGAGAATAGCAATATCTTGTTGCTAGCAAGAGAAATAGGAAGTTTTATCTCTAGTGTAATTAAGTTGTGTACAGCAGTACCAGGGGTACAAACTAGGTGGGAAAACAATGTCCTGAAAGGCGATACCAAATCATGCTGTTATCAAGAAAACTGTACCAGAAATCAAAGTTGGCTATCTTTACAGAAGATATCACAGTAAGTACCAGCATCCAACTCAGAGACGAACTTTAAAAATTACTGAATAGGATCTGATTAATGCAGCTGGGAAGCCACTAAGAAACCTCAAGGCTGCAGGCTAGAAGAGAGAGTCAAAATCACCCCTGCTCCCATGGAACTTGCACAGATGTGTCCATGAAGTCAAAAGGAGTCAAGTTTTATTTATTTGGGGGAAAGAGAGAGTGGGGAGAGGGAGGGAGGGAAGGAGGGAGGGAGGGGGAGAGGGAGGGGGAGAGAGAGAGGGAGGGAGGGAGGGAGAGAGAGAGAAAACATTGCAATCATTTCATAATTATAAGTGTGTTTATAAAAATAGAATATTTTTTCTATCCCTCTTTTAAAAACAATTTAAACTCACTTCATTTTGTATGTATGTAGGACTGCATTTACAGCAAGGTATTCTAGCAATTAGATGTAAAAAACATTTTTTCATGTTAAAAAGTTTTACATTGGCTTGCATCAAAAAAGCTAGTACTATTCTTGAAAAACTCCTAATACAATACTATGGCTATGTAGAGTATAGAAACATATCAACGGTCTTATATATGTCCAGAGAGTCTTGTTCACATGAAGTGATTATAGCACCTCATCTGCCTACAACTATGTCTACAACAGGGGTCTTCAAACCTGACAGCTTTAAGACTTGTGGACTTCAACTCCCAGAATTCCTCCTTCAGTCATCTTAGCTCAGGAATTCTGGGAGTTGAAGTGCACAAGTCTTAAAGTTGCCAAGTTTGAAGACCCTTGGTCTACAAGCATAAGGACATCTATATCAACGGGATCAGGTCACACAACCTTCCAAGCTGATAGATGAAAAGCTAGATAGACTGATGCTAACAGTCTGCATGGGACATTTAAAATATCATCAGAAGTGATCCATATTCACTGCTTTTCTGGCAACATACAGCTGATTTACCTCTTGGACAGTACACATCTGGAGCCCACTGGTTGCATTCGTAGTTATCAACTGCTTGTTCACAGGTAAAACATTTGAATCCACCAGGATACGGAGTTGCTGAAAAATGCAGATGCAACCATGACATCAGTTACAAGGCTAACTGGAATATATATATACGTATACGTATACATATACGTATACGTATACGTATACATATACATATATATATATAATCTGTTATACATGTATATCTGTTATACATATATAGCAATTATACATATATATCTGTTATATATATATTTCTGTTATATATATATATTTCTATATATATATTTCTATTAGATAGATAGATAGACACACACACACACACACACAGTCTTAACAAGACTCTTATTGAGATAGATAAAACATTTAACATTTAAAGCAAGATTCTGAAGAAGTCAACTAAGTAGATCTGGACACCATATCTTTCACCATTTTTTGAAAAAGTAATAGAAAGAAACAGGACAGGATGGGAAAAATATATTTGTTAACAGTTTGCTTTCTCTGTAGCAGGGCTGTCAAACTCACGGCCCATGTGATGGCCATGCCCAAACCCAGTTTAGCAAAGTGGGGGAAAGTCCTGATATGTCACATGACATCACCATAACGATGTGTGTTTGACACCACGATCTATAGAATCTCAGTACAGCTCACACAATGTTCTTGTTTTATCCCAAGATAAAGTCTTATGAGGCAAGTGACATCATATGTGAGTTTTCCCAGTTACAGAGGACCTGAACAGGGATCTACCCAACTGTAGTCCAACATATTAATCTCTGTATCACACTGGCTCCAAAATGTTGATCTAATGGTCATTCAATCATAATTCACAGCAAATTTGTGTCCCATTTTCCATTCTCACTTGGAAATTTTTAAAATATTAATAAGCACAGCTTGTCAACTGGCACAGAAGCTCCACTAGAAAGAAATAATGCCCTGCTATTAAGAGATTTATCTTAACATCCATCCAACATCTACACTTCTGGATCTTATAGCTGTAAAGCACTATGAAATGGTATATAAGTCTAAATGCTATTGCTATTATGTATCCTGTGAAAATCTATTTAGACTCTTCCAAATATGAGTCCTAAATATCTCTGAGGGCTTCTAACACGTCTCTTTTCTAGTCTTTTCCTGGCTATGCATCACCAATTTTTGTCAACACTTCTATATAACTCATATTTTTTAACCTACTGATTGCCTTTGCTTTAAAAAAAGCTTGATCCCACCTGCCTACATTTCTTGCTATCAGACTGGCAACCCCCCACCCTCACCCCAAAAGAAGCCCCTGGCTACAAACCAACCATAGTAATCTATGCAACAAAACTGTACTGCCACTGCAGGGCAAGACAATGTGGTACCCTTTTTATTCTGTCTTTTTCGAGCTATTTTAACCGAAAGAAAAGACAAATAAAAATTTTGATTGCCCAGGAGCAAAGCACTGGCCTCTGACTTTTAACTTTTTATTGATAACAATGCCTTTCTGACCCTTACAGCTTGTGTAAGCATTCTTAGAAATGTTGTTTTTTTTTAAACGATGGGTGGCTGCAGGCCAGTTATTTAATAGCATCTCCACTTGTCTTGATGGTAGGATGGGGGGAAGGCGAACGTAAAGTATGAGTGGTAATAAGTATGCTGGGAGTTGAGAGAGAGTGAAGAGGAGATAATAGATAATCTCAATCTATTTACCTTCTGCTAATGGCTGCTTTGTGAAAAGCTCCGATGGCTATCAGGGTCATTAGAGAGAACAGCTACAGAATACTTTGAAAATTCCAAATGGACCAATTGCTCATTCAGAGTCATTGAGTTGAGGGAGAAAACCAACTCTTGATTCAAGGAGAAATTTGAAGTCCCGATAGTGTTAATGTACAGGATCAAGGAAGAGATATTGCTATCTCTGCAACGGGTGACATTTCAAACTCAGAGCATACTTTTACTACAGATATTGTCAAGTGCAAAGAATCAGGACCATTTCTAAGGTTGCTGTGTAGAAGATTTATTCATTCAAGCATAAAAATTTAGTCATCTAATGAACAGCATTACATTGGTGCTAGAAAAGGGCCAATAAAATTCAAGGGAAGGTGGACTTGGATCTCTTGTGGCAATGTAAGGACTCTAAACTGATGATGCATTTAACTCTACCCCCCAGCTGTCCCTGCTCTTCTACAGATATAGCATGCATCCTATGAATATCTAGTCAAATGCAAGCAGAACTGAATAAAACAGAAACATGGAGTATACATAACAGTAGAACCACATTTTTTAAAAAATAGAACGGAAAAGAGAGATAGCACAAATATTAAGTATGCATTATGAATTTATTGTGCACTGTACCCTCAGCAACTTCAGCTCCCTAAATTCTTTCCATTCTCATTTTAAAAAGTACCAAGTGATAATTAATTACACAAACAACACTCATTAAAGTATCAGCAATTAAATCAACAACATTTGAAGGTTAAGAGGCCCCAGGGTTAGAGATACATCTATAAAGTCTTGTGTTAATTTTACCCATTATGTTAATGCTAGCTATAGCTCAATGGATGCAGATATACAAAAGGGGCAAAATGTTTTGTTTTATATGAAGAGGAAGAATATTTGATAACCGGTGTTTCGTAAACTTTTACTAAGATCTCCAAACATTTGCTCAAGGTAAGCAATATCTTTCTATATATAAAACAGGGTGTGTAACTGTCAAGAGTATATTCATGAAGTGGAATAGAGCTTGGTAACAAGATCAGCGAATGAACAGGCATAGCAACTAAATCAGCCAATGAGGACTGTTTTGGAAACTGAAACTAGAAGTAGCCTAGGCTGGAAACTGAAACAAAAAGTAGCCTAGACTGGGCTCTATATTAAGCTCTGCAGAGATGTTGAGCTCTGAGTCTGTCTATTGAAGATGAAACTAACTTGCTTGCTTGCTGAAGACTGGAGCTCTGCTCTGAGCTTGCAACATGTTTCTGTTTGAGTTTGCTCCATGTTGGAGAAATCTACAACTGGTTTGTAAAATCTGCTTATGTTTATAAAGATGTTAAATGAAGCATCAGCCATCTGTGTTTTATTTTTCTGGCGCTGAATTATCGCTGCAAAACTCTCAATAGTTACTGTATACAGAAATTGCCAGGTTTAGCCGGGCTTGTTTTGGTTTTTTTATTTCAAAAAGAATTGGCTTTTTGTATGGACACTGGCTATTGTATTCAACAAAAGCATCATCAGTCTGACTTCATTCTTCCTCATGAGAAAAATGATTGTACGGTGGCAAGCAGCCAATATCAACTTCATATCTTCTTAGTAGACAAAAGGTGTCCTGGACCTTGGAACACTCCCATAATTTAGTACTATAATCTAAGAATAAACCAGTATCTCCCAAACAAAAGATGAAAATAAGCTGTACATCCTTATGCAGTATCCTTAAAGTAGTGGTGGTGGTGGGAAACCTCCAATATTTATAAATATACAGCTAGGGAGATTGATTCCAATGCCAAAGTCTTTGAACATTTTTTCCCCATTACCTCAGCTAGCAATTACCTCTTCGTCTATAGGTAATCCTTGACTTATGGCCATTCATTTAGCGACCATTCAAAGTTACCTCCACCCTGAAAAAAGTGACTGAAAACCAGGCCCCACACTTAGGTCCATCACAGTGTCGCTGCAGTATTGTGACCGCAATCCGGGCACTTGGCAATCAGCATGCATTTACAATGCTTACAGCATGCTGAGATCATGATTACCATTTGAGACCTTCCTAATTGACTTCTGCCAAGTGAAGCCAGTGAAGGAAGCTTGATTTGCTTAATGACAGCTTTATTTACTTGATTTGCTTAATGACAGCTTTATTGACTTTCACACAAAAAAAGTTGCAAACCACACACACTTAATGATGCATCGCTCAGTGATTTAAGTTGCTATCCGAATTGTGATGATAAATTGAGGGCTATCTATGAATTGCACTTGTTTCTGGGTAAATAATGTTGTATAAAGATATTATAATAATGTTATATGAAGAAGGTATATTCTGCCTCACTACCAAGAACTATAATTTTAAACAGAAACAACGGGTAGAAACAGGTGTCAGAGGCTTTATTTTTTTATAGCCCAAGGGATTGCATTGCAATTTTATAAAGATATGGGAATACATACCCCTGTCTTTCCTTCCAGTTCTTCTGTAACAAGAAGACCAAGCTTCCATCTCTCTCATAATTTCTTCCAACACTAAGCTTAATTTCTTTTATTTTAAGGGTAATTTTTGAATGAGATTGGGAGAATGCTAGTGTGATGAAGTGGGTTTGGTGCTAGCTAGTGTCAGCACTTCCCAGGGTGACCTCGGGCTAAACACAACCCCTAAACTGAGTGTTAATCATATGGAGATAAAAGCTAGAAGAGGTTCTGGAGGGAAAGGGAAAGCTATATGAATAACATGACTGGAGGATATTAATTGCTTCATTTTGATACTGTCAGTATATTTTACAAAAATAAAGAAAATACCTGCGTGACACTAGAGAACGGTGTTTAAGAGAGCGGTGCCTTTAAGAAAGCAGTGGTGGCATAGTGGTGAAAATGAAGTAATGTTTCTCGACCGTGGCAATTTGAAGATGAGTGGACTTCAACTCCCAGAATTGCCCAGCCAACTATGGCTGGCTAAGGAATTCTGGGAGTCCACACATCTTCAAGTTGCCAAGTTTGGTGAAACATGGCAGTATTGCAGGCTAACTCTATCGACTGCCAGCCTTCCATTCTTTCAAGGTCAGGAAAATGAGGATCCAGATTTGGGGGGGCGGGCAATATGCTGACTCTGTAAACCATATAAAGAAGGCTGTAAAGCCCTATGAAGCAGTACATAGGTATAAGTGCTATTAGGGAGGCCCATTAGTCTTCACAAATGATTTAATGGAGCTGAAAAGGAAGGAAGAATCTTTCCAACAACATGTTCATTCTGCTGATAGATAGCCACTGTTGGACAAAACCATTTATGGAATGACAGGACCTATAGCCAATAAACTCTAAGTTATAAAATGCTATACACAGAGCCATGCAATGTATCTCCTTTAACTAAAAATGTTTGCCTAGGGATCCATCGT